TTTGAAGTGTTTGCAGTTGTGTTTGGGGTAAAACCTCAAGCCTATGCTGGTTAATTAGGCAACTTTCAGCAGCAAGGCACCAGTGAGCTCAGGTTCCTCTCTCTTCACCATCATGAAAAGATTTACAGTCACACTGGAGCCTGCCATTACGCTGGCCCCAGCTAGTAGAACAATGCCATTTGCTTCCTTCACTCTCTCCTCTTTCTCCTGCTAAACAAACCACATCAAAGATCAAACTCAATCCCTGTGAGAGCTCTGTTGGAGAAGACAGGATAGAGAGATAGGTCCAGAGGTCACCTGACCTCCCCAGCATACAGTAGTAAGATCACATTGAATGTCAGACTAATCTCATTTCCTTTGGGATGGAATTTCAGCGTTTATCCATGACGATAACGCTCCAGTAGAGGTTACTTCACTTTCAGGAAAGCATTGGAATAAGCCTCTCATGCTTTCTTTTTTTTTTTTTTTTGACAAGATGGAGACAAGTGGGCTAAAAGACCAGAGGCTCATCTGGATTAAGAAAATAAGATTAAGACTGCTAGACTCCATGCAAATCATTTATGGAGATAACTTTCAAAGGATGTTTCAAATAGAGGACCTAGAGCATCTGTGCTTGGTCTTCTGCCATCTAACATTTTACTCCAAGACTTGGATAATGTTACTGATGGCAAGTATATCAGATTTACAAATTCCATCCAACTGGAAAGAGAACACACTGAATAATAGTCAACATCAAAAAAAAATTTTTAAGATGTTGACTGGCTAGAATATTAACCCAAATATAATGAGTTAAAATTTAATATGGACAAATGTGAAGTCAGATCATTTCAAAAAATAACTTTAGAATTAGAGAATTTAAGAATTATTAGTCATCAAGTTTGAACCATAACAGAACATAACCACCACTACAAACATCCCCCAAAAGAGTCATCTGGCCTCTGGCTGAAGACATAACCAAAGGGTATGATCTTATTGGGAAGGCTTCTAGCTTATCAGAACAAGTACAACGTGTTTAAATCATCCTCTTACAATTGACAGCCATTGAAATATTTGAACATAGCTTTCATGTTCTCCATGGGTCTTCACTTGCACAAAGGTTAAGTATCCAGTTTCTCCAAATGAGCCTCATAAGATATAGACTCAAGGTCCTTGACCAAGACAGTTATTGTCCTCTAGACATGTTCCAGTTTATCAGTGCTCTTTGCAAAGCAGGAAGCCCAAAAGTGAACACAATGCTCCAGGTGACGTCTGAAGAGGGCAGACTCCAGGAAGACCAGCTACTTATTCCTGAAAGGTAGACCCTTATTTTGCAGCCCAAATCTCCATTGGCTTTTCTGGCTGCCACATTGAATCGATGACTCATACTGAGTTTCAGTCCACTAATTCTTTTAGATCTTTTTCCAACATCGATCTAATCATGGCTCCTTTATCCTCTAATTTTGAAGGATATATTTTGTACCCAAATATGAGCCTTTACATTTATCATCTTTGTAGAAATAACAAAGGACTGGACACTAAGCAGCTGACCATCTGCTGGGGAATGGCTGAACAACTCATGTCATATGAATGGAATGGGATGTTATTGTGCCCTAAGAAATGGTGAAATGGATGGATTCAGATCAACTTGGGAAAACTTATATGAACTGGTTCACAGTGATGTAAGCAAAACAAGGAGAATGATTTATACATGAACACAGTATGATAACAATACCAGTGTGAAGAAGGAAAACTTTAAGACTTGGGCAAGGAGACGTGTGGGAGCCAAGACTGTGGAGTAAGCAGTAAGTCATCATAACTCTACCATATTCACCACCACACAACCATAAAATAGTAACCCATATCAAATCCTAGGCCCCACTCTCCAGCCAAAACTCCTCGCCTTTCATAAAACACATCCTCCCGTGCAAGGAAGAAACAACAATAAAACAATGCCCTGATGAATTGAGGAAATCAAAGGAGATTGGATAACTTTTCAAATCTTCTTGCAATCTTTAATTCTACGTTCAGAGAGCTTGTTATGATTCAAAATTCATCCTGGGGGAGGCATTTATGCTTGTGTGCAGGATAGCAAAGGTCATGATGGTTTGGTATTGTTTTCCCAGCACAAGCACATGCTACCAATGGTTCTCTGCATTCACCCTTAGCTAGAGAGTGTTAAGGAGCTAGTAACGATCCCATGCCACAGTGAGCGGCTTGTGAAGCCCTGTTTCTGAAAGGCCAGTCACAATGCATTAGGGGTGTGAGTAGGGGTATAGACCCATCTAGGGACCACTTCTCTTCTGGTTGGGGCAGCGAGGTGGCGCCATAGTGCACAGAGCACCAGGCTTGGGAAACTGAATGGGTATTTGCTGCCACCCGCTGGTCAAGGGCTTCCCCACACACACACTCTCTCTTTAGATGACCCCTCCCCCCCAACACACTCTTTTCCTCTTCATTGCAACTGTTTCTCTTGATGCCTTCTGACTTTCATTCTTGGAGGTCTTTCAGCCCTTCCTGTGCTGCTTTCTCTCATAAAATTCTAGTCCAGGGGTTTGTCTTCGTACAGACTCAAAGAGTTTCAGAACACCTGAATCTCATTCAGAGGCAGACAGCAATCTCCTGTATCTGCCACTGACGTTACAAAGGGGAAAAGCCCAGGTGTCAGAGAGAAGGAAGGAGGCTCGCAGTTCTGGATTCAGCCTTGACTTTCTACCTTCCCTCAGTCAAAAACGTGGGCTGAGATGTGGCTGCTGAGCTGTTCCTCACAGTCCTCAGCAGTGACTCATCTTCCTAAAGAGAAAATTGGCTTGGCTGGGAGGCTCAGCACTGCTGGAGAAAATTGGATCAAATGAGGGAGTGATAAGGTTAAAGCTAAAGACCATGGGTGTGCATGGAAATCAGAGACACATGGCATTCAGGCAAAGGTGCACTCAGAGAGGCGGAGTAGAGCCTGGAGACAATTCCCTTCAGTGCCCCAATGGTGCTGGTCTAGCTCTCCAAGCCCATTTTTCAGTCCATCCAGGACGTTTCCCTGCTTTCCCAAGGTGGCTGTGTCTTTCCTTATTCACTCTAAGCCTGTTCTTCCAGCTGCATTTCAAGTCTCTCTTTTCTCTCTTTCGCAACTAAATCCTAGTTCAGCTGATTTCTTTCTGATGGCCCTTTCTGCTACCTCCAGCCAGGCATCTGTCTCTCCATTTAGATAGTTTTGGGTTTTTTTTTCAAAACTGCCTTGATCTCTTCTCTTCTTTACAACCACAAAGAGCCACTTGTTATGGTCTTACCATGGGACCCTCCAGGCAGGCTCAGCAGAGATGGAAGGAGACACCTTCTGACCGTGAGGTCACAGCTTCCCACACACAGACTGCTGAGCTAGTCTGACCCATGTGTCCTAGTGTGACCCAGCACTCTCGTGAAGGAGGGACCTCACACCTGGGACTGTTTAGCAAATTGATATCGCATCCACTGTGCACAAACACTGCCTGAGACATAAATATACTCCGGGCCCCATCTGTCACACTGTGCCCTAGAGACGTCAAGAGAAACAATGATCTCCTCATGCTGGTTCCTCTGGCTCCTGGTGCCCTGGGCCTGGGGTAAGATCAGCCTCCCTGTTAACAAGTTAACAAGTATTCACTTGATGTGCTACACCAGGAGATTCCAGAACATGGAAATTGAAGATGGGCTATGGAAGGGAAGTGTGATGGGGGTGGGGTGCAAAGGGTGAGAAGGGGCTGGTTCCTATCGTCATTGGGAAGGACATCTCAAGTCAGTCAGAGCACCTAGTACCTGCTTCTGGATTCCAATCTATTTCTGCCAATATTTTTTCTGCCCAAGGGTCCTGTGCAGCCATTTTGCTGACCCAGTCTCCAGATGCACTGTCTGTTGCTCCTGGACAAAGAGTCACCATCACCTGCAGAGCCAGTCAGGTTATTTATGCTAATGTAGTCTGGTATCAGCAGCCACCAGGACAGTCTCCCAAGCTCCTGATCTATGATGCTTCCACTCTGCCCTCGGGGGCCCCTGCCCACTTCAGTGGCAGTGGGTCTGGGACAGATTTTACTCTCACAATCAGCAGTGTGGAGGCTGAAGATGTTGGGCATGACCACTGTCAGCATTATGATGAGGACCCTAACCCACAGTGGTGCCCGCCTGAAGAAAAACCTCCCCAAGCTGTTGAGATCTTCAGCTCAGGAGACCAGCTGCTTCCTCCAGAGCCACCACAGAGCCCTGGGGAGGGCTGGGCCCAACAGCCCAGTTGTGGGGACCACAGATCCAGTCTATCAGATCCTAGAAAGGGCTAGGGAGTGGAAAGAAGGAAGAGGAGAGAGAACCTTCTATCCTCTCCTCTCAAGCCAGGCTCATAAGGTCCTCCAAGTACTCCAGTGAAGCTGGTCCCCTTCCTTACTCCCTGCCCCCTTACTATGGGGGCTGCTCAGATGAAGATCATCAGGGTCCATTTAGGGGAAAGGTTTAAAGGCTTCCTGGGAAAGAGCAGGTCTCAAACATCAGATGCTCTTCGGGTACTCAGCCCTGACCTCCTTCCCTTTCCGGCCTCTTCCTATTACAAGCTAAACTCTGTTATTCTACATGGGTGAGGGTAGGGGCATAAGTAATTGGGGAATGTTAGTATCAGGCCCATGTTCCTGCAACAAAATGCCTGGCACACAGATCCTCACTGGCTGCCAGCACTCAAACCTCCCCCTTTTCCACCTCTTCTCCCATCCTTTACCCACTAGGCTATTCCTTCTACTGGGTGACATGCCCATTAATTCTCAGTGGGAGTCATAACCACAATAATATATCTGAGTCATCTTCTCAGAGCCCCAGGCAGACATTGGGGCAGAACTGAGCTGAGCCCCTTTCCCCTCAGCCTTCTCCTTTCTAAGCTGCTTCATCCCCAGTATGTCACACACACATTCCGCTTTGATTATACTTGTCTTTGTTCCCTCACAGATCCTGTCAATTAGGTGGGACTCCAGGCTCGGGAGTCGACTGCCCCATGCAGGGAGCAGCAGGACCTGCCATGGGGACTCCTAATCACAGGATCTGCTTACAGGGGAAAGGGATGGCCTGGGGACAGCACACACTGGGGAAGGTCAGACTCAGTCCAGGGAGCTGGTCATGGACCTCAGGCCACCTATTGCTTACTGTAGGGGTTAACATGGAGAATATTTCAAGGGGTGAGTCTGAAACTTAGCACCTGAAACTCAAAATCAAGAAGGAAAAGGAACTGGGGAAACTGGCAAACCCTGAAAATAAATGACCAAAGACTTAGATAGGTTATGAAACCACTGTTAACTCTGAAAAATAAAATAAAACCAATGAACTAACAGGGGTTATAAGCAAAAAGCATTCTTTATTCCATTAGAGGAGGGAAACTAGATTGTGGGCCAGAGTCTTATCCAAGAAGAGACCCCAGGCAAGGAGGCTTAGCCTTGAGACATATAGTTGTGGCTACACATAGAATCATGCAGTGGGGAGTAGCAATAGCGGTGAGGCATAAGAGCAACAGGGAGGCAAGGTGGTCTCGTGACAGAAAGTCCGTTCATAACAGGCCTTCATGACCAGGCCTGCTGGTGCTTGCCTGAGGTCAGGGACCATCAGTTCTGTGATTTAGCTACAGCTGGACTGATCCAGAGGGTGGGCACAAAGGATTGGTGCTATGCCAAGCTCAGGAAAAATCTTGCTTCCTGGTCTTTACTTCTGGAAAAAAGGGGGATCTCCTAATAATAAAGAGAGAGGAGTGAAAACAGGGGGCAGGTCATAAGCATATGGATCGTGACACAGGCAAACTCTCTCTCAGAGGACTAGAAGTAACCTTGTTCAGGAGCAATCCTACTGGCCCCTTGCCACCATCCAATAGATTTTTCCTCTACACCACCAGTCACTTCTAGATCTTATTCTTACTGTAAATAGCAGTTCTCTTTAAACCAGAGAATTGCTTAGTTCATCCAACTGGCCATGTTTGGGACAGACAGATTAGCGTAGCCCCTGCATGATTCACTTGCCCAGCCACAGCAGAGTTCACAGCAGCATAGCAAAAATTCACTCTTTTGGCCAGTTAAGCAGGAGACCCCCTCTGCTTTTCCTTCTCAGTCTAGAGATGGCAGAAGAAAGCAATGGGCCCATGGAAAGAATGTCAACTTTTCTCCTCTCTAAATGCCTCTTAAAAGCAACAGATTTCATTGGAGAATGTTTAACTGGACTCACAAGTAACGTGCTAAGAACAATTGGTACAAAACAACCCCTCATGCACAAGTAAAGTCAGATCTAAATAACTGGAAAAACATCAGTTGCTTATGTCTAGGCCAAACAAATGTAATAAAAATGACAATTCTACCTAAGCTAATTTACTTATTCAGTGCCATACCAATCACACAATCAAAAATTATTTTATAGAGCTAGAAAAAATAATAACAAGATTCATTTGGAAGAACAAAAAGCCCAGAATATCAAGGGAACTAATGAAAAGATGTGTAGGGGAAGGGGGCCTAGCCATTCCAGATCTTAAATTGTATTATAAAGCAGAAATCATCAAGACTGCTTGGTGCTGGCTAAGAAATACAGTGGTGGATCAGTGGAGTAGGTTAAGTATGCAAGACACAGTAGTCAATAACTATAGTAATCTATTATTTGAGAAACCCAAAGACCCCAGTTTCTCAGATAAGAACTCAGTCTTTGACAAAAACTTCTGGGAAAACTGGAAAAGACTATGGCAGAAACTAGGCATAGACCAAAATCTCACACCATATACCAAAATAAAGGCAAAATATGTTCATGATTTATATATAAAGGCTGATAGTATAAGCAAACTGAGAGAACAAGGAATAGTTTGCCTGTCAGATTTATGGAGAACAGAAGAATTCATGGCCAAACAGGAGATAGGGAACATTATGAAAAGCAAAATGGATAACTTTGATTACATTAACCTGAAAAGTTTTTGCACAAACAAAGTCAATGCTACCAAGATTGGAAGGAAGGTAGAAAATTGGGAAAGAATATTTACATCCAGTCTCTCTGATAAGGGCCTTATTTCTAAAATAGAGAGAGAATTAAGTCAAATTTATAAGAATACAAGTCATTCCCCAATTGACAGATGGTTAAAGGATATGAACAGGAGTTCTCAGATGAAGAAATTAAAGCCATCTACACTCATATGAAAAAATGCTCTAAATCACCACTGATTAGAGAAACGCAAATCAAAACAACTCTGAGGTACCACATTATACCTATCAGATTGACCAAGATGATAAAACAAGAAAATGATCAATGTCGGAGAAGATGTAGGAAGATTGTAACATTAATGCATTGTTGGTGGAATTGTGAAATGATCCAGCCATTTTGGAGAGCAATTTGGAACTATGCCCAAGGGGCTATAAAAATGTTCATACCCTTTGACCCAGCAATATCACTTCTAGGGCTACATCACAGTGAAATCATACAAATGGGAAAAGGACCTACATGTACAAAAATATTTACAGCAGCTCCTTTTGTGCTGGCAATGAATTGGAAATTGAGAGGATGTCCATCAGTTGGGGAATGGCTGAACAAGTTGTGGTATATGAATGTGATGGAACACTATCGTGCTATAAGAAATGATGAACAGGCTGACTTCAGAAAAACCTGGAAAGACTTGTATGGTCTGATGCTGAGTGAAATAAGCAGAACCAAGAGAACTTTGTACACAGTAACAGCCACATTGTGCGATGACGAATATTGATAGACTTAACCCTTCTCAGCAATACAAGGAGCTAAGACATCTGCAAAGGCCTCATGATGGAAAATGTTATCCACATCCAAAGAAAGAACTATAGAGTTTGAATGCAGATCAAAGCATACTATTTACTATTTTTTTTCTTCTGTTGTGTTTTGTTTCCTCTTTCTGGTGGTTCCTCCTAATCTTTCTAATTCTTACCTACAACACCACTAATGTGAAAATATATTTAATAGGAATATATATGTATGGCCTGTATCATATTTTGCACAGTCTGGGGGACAGAAGTGGGGAGGGAAGGGGAGAAAAATTTAAAACTCAAAAGCTTACGGAAGTGATTTTTGATAATTCATAATAAATTAATTTTTTTTTCTTGGTTAGGCAATGGGGTTAAGTGACTTGCCCAGGGTTACACAGCTAGTAAGTGTTATGTGTCTGAGGCCACATTTGAACTCAGGTCCTCCTGACTCCAGGGTCAGTGCTCTATCCACTACGCCACCTAGCTGCCCCCATAATAAATTAATTAAGAAAATAAAAAATAAAAAATAAAATTATTGCTAATTGAAAAAAAAAACAACCTCTCAAAAATCAGTGACACAATTTGTCCCAGAAAAGGGGACAAAAGAGAACGGGTGTGACAAGAGTAACTCACAACTCCTAGTCACTAAAATTCCTGGCCCACTGGACTCTGGTGGCTCTGAAAGGTGAGCCCAACTACTTCATACATACACCTCTGCCTCCCTTCACTCCAGTTTATAGGTGAGTCAAGAGAAGGTGACAAAGCCTCAGGCGCAGCTGTACTGGCAGCTGTTGTCACAACCCCGCACACATGCGGCCCAGGGCCTGGGGTCATGTTCTCACTGGGCTGAAGCAGCAGTGGGATTCAGCAGCTCCTCTGGGGGTCTGAGCATCCTTTTTGGAGGACCACACTGCTCACCTCCTGGGGAGACAAAGGGCTAGAAAAGGGGCCCTAAAAGATGTCTGCTTCACCCAGGGGACTGAATTAAGGGCAGCTGTGGCAGTTTCCAGACTTCTCAAGCCACAAACACCAAAGACAGCTTAGAAGGCCAGTAGGAAAACTCTGTGACCGCAGTGCAAGAGAAGCTCCTTCCCAGCCCCAGTATCTGCACAGCCCTGGGGCAGCGGCTGCTGCCCAAGCTTGACCCAGAGACAGAAAGGGAATTGAGTGGGTGATAAGAGGGGGATTTCAGGGATCTCTTTGCTGGTGCTCAGGCAGGATTCTTTTGCTTTTCCCATGGTTAAATCTGGGTCACAGTTCTGGGTGGCGGTTCTGGCGTGAGAAGGAGCGCTGGCATGGTGGAGCTTCTGGTGGAGGTAGAGAGCAAACCCTACTCAGAGTTTCAGGGCAGAAAAGAGTGCTGGGGGTCACTCATAGACCAGAGTACAGGCTGAGAAAGGAGTAAATTCCTCACCCTTGATCATACCACCTTTGAAGAACTGAAAATTTCCAGGTCCTTGGAAGTATCTCTGAGAAGAGCTACACAAAATCTCTGAAGCTTGGGACAATACATCCTCCACACTGGAAGCAGCTCTCTACCTTAACAAAGAGTTTAAAACTCAGGTAATTGACTGGGGTCATGAGCAAACTACACAAAAAAATGTC